ATATATATATATATATATCACAGGCATTTGGGATTAAAGGTAGCCTATATTTACAAGGGATTCACATATTGTATCAGATCCTCACTTCATGATTCATGATAGTTGACACTACTGTATGATTTCTACATATTTAAATGTTCATTACTTTTTATAAAACAGTCCAATATTAACAATATGATACATAGCAACTTCACTGGAAAATATTATTTTTTTCTTTTCTCTGTTTTAATTGATATAAGGTATATCATTTTGTTGACATACTGGGCTGCACCCTTTATTCCTGCTGTGCTAGTGCCATTGCAACGAAATTTCATTTTGATGCAAATCCAAATGACAAATAAAGTCTGTCTAAGTCTAAGTCTTCTTCCCATCTATTACATCTAGACTTCCAGATGTAGAATCCAGCATAGATATTAAAACTTGTTAGATAGATTACTTTTTAATAATGTTACACTAAAGTCTTTCTTACTTTAACAGCAGATTTAAAAAACACTTCAGATTAACATCATCAAATTAGAAAAGATTAGATAAACTTGATTGATCTCAGGAGCAAAATGAAGTACAAGAACAGATGCATAATATAGATAAGTAACCTTAAAACTAGAATACATTAACATTTCTAAGTTATGATTATATATGCTATATAGCTGCTGTTATGTGGAGGAGAGGCATCAAAAAAACTGTCATGTTTCTCAGATTCTCATTTAGTGTAACACATTCACAGTTTTTTCTTGCAAGAGAGCAGCAAAAAAAGGCTTCTTGTTTTGCTGCTCTCTTGCCTTTTTGTACTTGGCAGGTTTGTGTCAGATTGCAGTTAGTGTGTTTAGTCAGCAGATGGTGTACAAACTGATAGCCAATAAAGTGTTGGCTATTACAAAAGTACACAGAATGCTGGGTTCAATCATTCATCCATCAGCGCTGCCTGTGCAGATAAAACTATTAACCTTTCATCAGCAGAACAGACCCCAAAACGCAGTTTTCACAGATAAATTATTGATCTTCTATGTGAATGTGTGGATCTTTTAAATAGATGACCAATGATTTCAAGGAGTGATGATCATAAGCTTGTAAATTACTGCCATGGCATAATTAAAAGTAGTAAAAGACAGAGAAGAAAAGACGTTAGGAGGGAGCAGCGTAGGTCTTCTTGCACTAATAATCAAGTTTGATCACTGGGATGATTTGATTGGATCAAAATGTGTGACTTCATTTGATCTGATGGTGTGTTATTAATGAGCAGCAACATTTTGAATCCGTCTGGTGGAGAATGACTGCCAAAATGTCATAAATGTAAACGTAAATGGATGTTAAGAGATAGTAAGGGGCTGTTAATGTGGGAAATGACCTTGGCCTTCCCTGATAGACATCAACAGTGTTCTATAATTCTATTTAATCAATAATTCTGATGCTTTAAAAAGCTGGGTCTTAACAGTGTTCACATCCAGCCACAATAGCTCCAACCATGACAAGCATTTTTTAAATGCATGGACATCGATGTGTGCATGATGCTGCCTGTCCATGCATAATAATGACTTTTTGTCTTTACAGTATGCATGTATGCTTGTGAGTGTAAATGGCCGTGCATACATTTGAGAATGAGGGCACACATTTTTTTCTTTCACAGTTCATTGCGCATATGAATTGCCCATAAAGGGAAACGATGAGAGACAAATGAGAAACAGCAAAAGAAGAAACAGCTACAGTCCAAGGAAGGACACAGAGATGTTCTGTACATCCAAGGTCTTAAGCACCGAATCAAATGATGCTGCATGGAATAATAAGTTGTTTAATGCAGCACTGAGTCTAAAATACTTCTTAGGATTTTGCATGGCAGTGGAAAAAAATACATTTGCAAATTAATTAAGTTGCTCTAATTCTTTTAATAAAGTTAAATTTAACAATTAAGTAGATCATATTAGTGTAGAAGCAGATCAGTCCCATCTCAGTCTCAAGGCATTTCTGTGTGGGCAGTTTTTGAAACAGCATACATAAACAACTCTGGATACATTTTGGATCATCTAACCCCCAGTGGCAAACTGTTTAATGTCTTTGAAGTGAAAAATATAAAAATGAGACTAAACGACATTGTGCAAATGAGCATGAACTTGTAGTGTCCTCAGTGATGAGCGGGGACACATATAAATCACTGACAGGGGGTAAAGACATGTGGAAAGGGCATTTGAAAAGCACTGGAGCTATCAGATGGAAGCAAAATCTAAAGACAAATGACAGAGACACTGGAGGACAAATCAGCCCTGGAGCTGATATGACCGGAGAGGTTCTCTGGTTGGGGGGGCATTGATTGATTGAGTCTGGCAACTATTGATCAGCTATCAGCTCTATCAGTGAGGGAAAGCGTTAAGATTCAGGCATGGCTTGTTTAATAAATCAGTTCCCTGATGTTACTGTAAAGGGATTGGTCCTAAATCCGAGGGGTGCTGAAAATCCAGATAAATGAGGTGCCTGTTGCTTAATGGAGTTATAACCCTTTGATGTGTAATAGGCTACCTTTTAAACATGTTGCATTTACATTATTGAAAAGGAAGCAGTAAGAACTCTAACCACAGGCTGGTACCTCCAACCTGCAGTTTAATTTAGGTCGGGTGGATGATTCAGGTCTGTCACATAGGAGAGAAGCTTCAATCCACACAGCTTGAGCTTTCTTAGAGTTTGTAAGACTTGAGAAGACAATTTTCTACCTACCATGTCATGTCATGTTAATAAATCTAACCTTAATTACAAGTCTTGCACATTCACTGATGATTTTCACACTAATCATGCTATTCTCTCTCTCATCCATCCCACACACAGATGCACCGGTTGCTGTACAAAATCTGGATTTGTTTCATTTCTTATTGCTAAAAATTATTGGATTTTAAATTCAGCATAACATATCAATGCTCTGTGGCATGTATCATTAGTTTAATCCTGAGGTTTCAGCAAGATTTGTTGAATTTCACAATAACCAAAACTTTTATTACTGTTGTTTGCGCTAGCTTTGTACTTTACTTTTTCTGGTTTATGCTTACGCTAATGATGAATGATGACTTCAAGGTTGACAGCAATAAAAGTGCACAGATCAGGTCATGTGTCTTTCAACAAACGTTGCATTACGATACATATGGCACATCTTCAGTGAATAGAATTTTAGAGCATATGAATACATGGATATGCTGCATATAACAAATAAAAATGATGATTTCAGCTTATGCCTACTTTTAAAAACAGAGAACGCAAATATTGTAGAGGGAACACGTTTGAATGAACATTGTTTGGTCCACATAAAGTCCCGTTGTGCTTACTGTGAGAAGAGTTCGGAACAAGTGAAAACAATCAGCACTTATCGGAAGAAAAATATGAAAATAATAAAATGTACAATGAATTTATATAGTAGAAATGTGTTTTATTCTTGTTCCATAGTCATCTCGAGTACCTTGAACAATCTAGCGCCCCTGTGGGGGTCCCAGTCTCCAGGATGAAAACTACTGTGTTTACCCCATTTCACAGTGAGCTTGAGAAATGTTTTTCTTTCTGATTGTATTTGTTTGTATGTGTTTTGTTGTGCCTCTTGTACTTCTGTGTGATAACTGAAAATGAAGCAAAATCAAATCCATGGTCATAGCCACATCATCTAATTTGGAATGTAATTACACTGTGGGCACTGTTACTTTATCAGGACGGTGGCTCAGAAGCAAATCCATCAGGCTTTGCTCTGAATGAAATTGGATTGACTGATTGATTTATGTATGTCAAGTGAAGGGCAAAGAGACGAACAAAAAGAAACGGCAGAGTGTGAGAGCTGGTCAGGGGAGGGGACTCGCAGATATATGGATGAAGCATGGCCCCCTGATGGGGGAAGGAGAGTATTGAATCAGACAGAGATAAATGGAGTGTGAGAGACAGAGAGAAAGAAATTCAGACATATGCATGCTGACCTCAACCCTTTTTTTTTCAACTAATCAATACAGGGAAATGTGTGTGTGTGTGTGTGTACTTGTTTGAAGGGAGGGAGGTTCTTTGTCGCTCCCAATAAAGATCAGAAACACAGTGACATTACCTCGGCACTGTCTGACTCCCCCATGGCCTTCCAACCTTTGCACATGCCTCTATTTAATCTTGGAGCCTGTAATCCTATAAAAGACTGAGAGGTCTGGAGCACTTAGACTGTCCTCGTCACTGAGCTCGGTGAGGAAAACATAAAACATCACTGCTGCACAAACGCGTCCTCAGGTCGTGCATGTTCACATAAAGTGTATCTCTGCACATGCTGTACTTGTTTTTCATTTGGTTCAACCAATAGACAGAGTTGCATTTTCACACAAAATAATTAATAACAAAGAATAAAAAAGGAATGGTTGGTTATTAGGCACTTTTTTATCTGACTGCCAGACTCTCTCTCCCTCTCACTCACTCACTTATAAATACACACACACTTACTGGCTGACAGAGAAAAGACACTAGCTTTTTCTAAGGAATAATTTCTTTGACAGATGCC